CTCCATATTTCCCCTGCATCTCCGCACAGCGCGGTGGCATGATTCACCGCGCAAGCGACAGGAAACGCGCATGCTGGCTAAAGGCGCGCAACAGCCACCCCGTGCTCGCGCCACCACTACGGAGAGCGTGAACGATCATTAGCCTATATGGACAAAGGGAGAAATATGGATGGATGGATGGATGGATGGAATAGATAGATAGATATAGCTACATGTTGCAGTATCTATAACAACCCAAACACAGGATTTCAGAATTAGACATCCCCAGTTATTAATTTCATACACTCGCAAAAGTAACGCAATAGTTACTTTTACAACTAACTAGTTACTTTTATTGTGGAGTAACTCAGTTACTAACTCAGTTACTTTTTGAGAGAAGTAACTAGTAACTATAACTTATTACTTTTTCAAAGTAACGTGCCCAACACTGCCTCTGGCTCACCCTATGATGGGGATGAAATCTAAAGGAGAACTGACAGTTTCCTCCTGTGAACCTCCTTTTATACCAAAATTCTGCTAATATACCATTAAACAGCAGCTGTAAGTTGGAAATACGTTCAGCACTCATCTGGAACAGGTCAGATTTGTTGATATGAATTGGAGATAAGTTCTTGATAAAGAATAAGTTACACACACATTACTCAGGTTTTGGATAAGCTAAAGGAACGACAGATGAGTATCTTACACTTAAAGGATGTCAAGTGTAGGTATGTTGTATGTCAATGATCAGATAACTTACCTGTAGCTTATGCCCCACGTGCTGATGAAGGTTCTCAGTCATCCAGGTCATAGTCATTCCGTAAAAATTCATGCCCGCTTATGCCCCACGTAGGCATAAGCTGGCATACGTTAAAAATAATTTCTTGACGTACTTGCCGTATGTCGATGTATGCCAGCATGTATCAGCGTACTCATAACTTATGCCTGAGTTTTTGCCAGAGTTTTCGTATGTCAGGCATACGCTGGTCTAAATCATAAAGCTTAACATTCTATTGTACCTCATTCGGTTTTTAGGTTCAACAGGGTTTAGTGCTTGGGACAGTTGTCTTAGTATGTCTGCTCAATGCCCTAGTTTCCCCTAGCATTGATTTACAATAATCCATGACATTTCTCTGAGATGTTGGCTTATAAAATGACAGTTTAATGTGGTTCCTGCTAATTTTATTAAAAAAGAACACATTTTTCTGTTGGAAGGAGATTCTGGTGACTGAAAGTTCTGAAATCAGGCATCAGAAGATGTGAACCCTGTGGTGGTAAAAGAAATGGGAATGTTGACCCGGTGGTTAGAGCAGCGCGTTTGTGCTCTGAGAAGGTTGCAAGGACCAAGTTCAATCCCTACAGCCTCCACTCTGGGTCCCTGAGTAAATCCCTTAACTCCCGATTGCTTCCCGAGCGCCACACAATGGCAGCCTACTGCTCCCCAAGGCAATGGGTTTTAATGCGGAGGTAAATTTCTAATAAACAATCAACTATTTCTACGATCTGGATGTGGCAGCTTAAATAAAGACTTCATAAACCAGGCACTATTTTTCTAACCTGGTATTTCCTACTTTTGTGGAAATGTGGACGGTAAATCATAGCGGCTTTGTTAGGTTACATGACAAGAAATAAACTGAAAGAAAAAAAAAACTTTTTAGAAACATTTCAACAGTTAATTCATATACGTTTAACTTCTACTATCACAAATTTGAGCATATCTGTTTCCAGTGTGTACAGAAACACCTAGCTGTCATAGGCACAATATATATACAATATATGGGTCCTTTGTCATATTTCTCTGTACAATGATTCTGAGTTAAGGGTGGTTTATTTAATTCATTGCTAGTACCAAAGCATTGCCAGCTCAAAAAAAAAATACATTTTCTCATGTGAAAGAGCATTTTCATTTATTTATCAGGGATTTTGGCAGACCTTGGGTTATTAGCTAATTATTCTCATTTGTGAACATAGCTGTAATTTCTTAATAAGGACCACATCGGTTTTAAATGAAACCTAATACTTTCATCACAAAAGAAAATTGACTTACCTCCAACATAATTTTAATACCATTTAACTGATGTCATTAAAAAGACAAAAACATTTAACATGGAGCTATGATTACCTAATAGTTTTATGTCCAATACCGGATCCGTGCTTTTTGGTTTTATCAGGGGATTCGGGCAATGGGTGTTGACAAGAAAAATCAAAAAGGACTTTACAATTACACTAATTGGTGTAGTCCACATCATATGTGGGCAGATGCTGTGCAAACACTTTATCACTTGGATTTTCATAAAATAGGCGGAGATACACTCATTCATGATGTCAATAAAGGCAAGCTTTATGTTTTCCTCTGGCAATTTTTAAATATCAAGTCAAAGATCTGTGGCTAGGTTGACTTGCAGCAGATCAGAGGCATGGGCGTAATTCAGACGTGGAGGTCAAAGGGCTTTTTATCAGTACCTTCAAAAATGTATCCTATAAAAAAAAAAATCTATTTAAAGTTACTTTTCATTATAAAATATTACCGTACATATTTATATTTGCTTTTATATATTTTTCTATTTAAACTTTATTCAGCAGAAAAAAAAACATATTTAAATGTAACCCGTTTTCCAGAAAATGTTGGAAAGTAAAAAAAACATTTTTTAAATACAGCACTTTGCAACAACTCTTACTTACCTTAAAAAACTGTTATTTTTTCTCAGTTTTTCTGTCTTGTTGATGGGAAGCTGGTTCCCATCCCAAGCTGTCATTAAATGAATTGCACAGGATGCCAACTTCAACTATTTATTGAATATTTAGTCAAATTACATGAAATATTTCAATGGTTAAAGTGCATGGATGTAAAGGAAAAGTAAAACTTGTTTCATTTGTAGTTTGTTTAAACTTCCCTGGTTTTGTTTATTTTACTTTAATAAAAGTGAGGCTAAATTAAGTAAGAATCTTGTATTTATTGACTATTGTATGTTATGATTTGTTGATTAATGATTGAATAATGCATTTTAACTTCTTAGAAATATTTTTTCCTTATCTTAATCTACACTAATTTTTTTGCTTTCTTATTGGTTTTAATCAAAAAAGGCTCCACTGCTTTTAAAATGAATACAATGTACAGTATTATTGCACAGCTCTGTTGTTTAAAGTTTAATGAGGTTTTTACAGATTTGGACTAATTCCTAAAGTGATGGCTGTTTCAGTGGCACCATGTCTTTATTCTAAATAGACCAAACCAAATACTGATTTGTTGTGACAGTTTCTTTAGTCATAGACACTTGTTTGGGAAGGATTTATTCAACTATTAGAGCAGAGGAAACCAATAAAAAATCAGCTTGGTTCGAATAAAGAAAATCATCAACGAGTAAAAGTCCAGAGACATTTTTAACACTACAATAAAATTAGGTGTTTGTGCATCCATGTTATACAGTGAATTTTTAAATAAAATTTTTTTCCATTTTCCACAAGAGTCGTTCAGTTTGGTATATAGACAATTTCCTCACCGTTTCATTTTTTCCCTCTCTCTTTTTTTTTCAGCTTAATGAGAGCAGTGGGCTTTAGGCTGCCCTGCAAGGCTTTAAAACTGGGTTTGAATGGAAACAAAGCCATTCTAAAGCACATATCAAGGTGATCATTTTGAGCCTGCATCCATATTTATTTTTTATTATATTCCTGGTGGAGAATCCTGCTTCACAGCAGCAGGATGAACCAAACATCCTCTAAATGTGCAGGGTCATCTTTGAGCACCATTTCACCTTTCTTTCACCAGTTCACCACAGTTCTTCCAGCAGTCCACACTTTCTCTGCTTTCTTTTTCTCATTGTCTTCTCCTTCTTTCCCATCGCCCGGCTTGCCACAGGTTTGCCTGCTGTGTCTAAAAGTAGCAGCAGCAGCAACCCAATTTAGATCATGTGTAGTCTGGTCCTGGACGCTCCAGGGGTTTACCGAACAAACAGGAGAAGCAGTCGTCGGACAACATGTGGTAATTTATAAATGTTTCAAATAAGGTTGGGTCCGGATTAGCCAGCAGGTGGGTCCGGATCTGGACTCCGGTCCACTAATCCTTGACCTCTGTATTTAGGGTTGCCAACCTTCCCTTGAAAAACAGAATCGTTCCTTTTTTAGAAATAGAAGCAACTGTCAAGTATTTAGTGGAAAAGGAAATCACTTTGTCCCGTATTACTGTGAGAGAAAAATAGTCAGTAAACAGTTAATGGAAAATGAAGAAGGGCACGTCAGATACAAAACTTACAGTAAACATATAGGTAATGATCCAGAATACCTTCATCCCATTGGTCGAGACAAGTGTTGCTTACGGAGAAGATAGCGGGACAAAACACAGCAGTATGGGGGAGAAACGGAGTCATTTAAATGCTGATGCTGCAAATATGTTTACAAGTTTGCTGTTGCACCAAAAAATGTGCACTATTTATTTATTTACTATTTATTGTTTTATATCCATTTTTACAGTTTGTACTTAAGCAGGACATGCCTATGTTTAAGATACTTATTTTATTCAGCAAAGTGTTATTTTCTAAAAAAGTGAATTGCTGGATAGTAATTTATTTTCCATGTTTTCATGTCACTCACAAATATGCATCTAATTCAATGCAGTTTTGAGTCAAATAGTTAAATCATTTCACACATTTTTTCAGGGAGTTGGCAACCTTATCTGTATTAGAGGATAAAACCAGCTACATTTTTTCCTATGGATATTTTTATTTAGTCCAATCATTTCCCAAAACTCTACCTACACATTAAAAATGTTTTACTAAAAAAAAATAAAAATAAAAAATCAGTAACAGCTGCCTTTCTCTCCAAAAATACATAAAGACTGCATGGTTAACGGTTAGTCAGTCAATTACCATAAGACAGCTAATGGGATGTTTTTCCCCCACGAAAACATACATTTTTATCTATTTTGCAATACATGGATAATATTTGCCTTTTTAAAGTCAGAAAAGGTCAAATAAAAATACCAGCTGGTTTTGCAGATTGAAAAGAAACAGAGCCGTCAGTCAAAGGATATGAAGGGTTTAATAAGATTCCTATTCAATCACACACATTACAGTCACTGCCAGGATAACCAGAGCTTACTCCCATGTTGTTAGAACAATGCAAAACTCATTACATTTTAAAGCAAAAACCAGTTTCTCTGTCAGATCAAAATCAAACCCTGATTGCTGTACTCTGCATTCAACAAACACACAACTCTAGTCTTTTTCTTCCTCTTTTTATGTCTGAAGCAGCAGAGTTGCGGACGTGAACTGACTCCTTGCTTTGGCAGATAGCGGACTGACCCTGAACACATCTCTGCGCCTCTGGTAGATATGGCAGGATTAAAAATGCAATGACTCAAAACCATAAAGTAAATGCACACCTTCATTTTAAAGTTGCCCTGTAAGCGAAGCACTGAGTGGCAACGCAAGATACTGTAGATAAATAACCAAACAGAAGTTTATTGACAAGGCATGCTAAAAGCAAATCATTTCTTTCTTAGTCCAAACAGGAGGATAGCACATGCTACTCATAGTGTCTAATCCGTCGAACACAGCTCTTATCCTTCCGCTTCTTCCCAGTCTTCATCCATGGTTCACCAGCAGGTTCTACGGAGAGAAAATTGGGGGGAAATAATTCGTTGTTGCAACCTTACGACATCATCTGACCTTTAGGATGCTCTTAAGGAGAATGGCTGTGGCTATTTTATTCACACTTTCCCACCTTTCTCTGACCACATGTGAAAGGTCAGATTTAGTAATGGTAGACATTATCTCCGTAATAGAGAGAAGCAATCCCTGCTGACCTGTGCTTAGACAGCTTAAAAAGCACAAGTCAAATAGGCAGTCACTTCCTTTCATGTTTTAACTATGGTTTATGTAATTAGTATTCATAAGTGCATTCACTCCTCTTTACTCTGTTACCCCAAAGTAAAATCCAGTGCCATCTGTTTACTTCTTCTGAGCTCAGAGGGTTGATGGAGAACAATGACTGTAAACTAAGCATTAATCTGAGAAGCACACAGAATATCCATGGTAACCTGATGGAGCTGCAGAGAAATACAAAAAAAAAAAAAAACTATAAACACAAAATAAAAAGTGCTTTGGTGCCTTAGTGTCTCAATGGTAGAGAATATTCAGTATCTTTGCTGAATGGCTGGATGTAGATCTTGTGCTTTCAGACCTCACTGTGGGGCGGGTGTGGGGGAGTGTTAGTAAATAACCCTTTGCCCTTCATGATTTATTATTTCAAATTTCATTATTTAGATCACTGCCATAAATAATGACTAAATGACTAGCTATTTAAGAAAATATAAATGGGACTATAGCAATTTCAGCCCATAAAACTTTGGATAAAAATATATGTGCAATGATTTCTTTTCATCAAATTTTAAAACATCATAATTGTGCAAATTTCTTAAGATTTTTATGTCGAGAAATAAAGATTAAAAATCTATTCAAAGAATCTTCTCACGCTGTCGGTTACTGGAATCATTCAAACTACACAGTTATTAATACAGCGTAACTCCTTTAAACCTTCTTGTTTGGTCTCTGCACCTCTCCTTATATTCCCCTTCTTGTGTTTAGTTCCAACAAATGTATTGTTGTAATCACATTCAATGGCAAAAAGCAAAATGTTTAATTTTAATACTGTTGTGAAAAATGTATTAGCTTATATGGATAAGCTAATCATGGCTGTATATTATATATAGACAGTGGTCTACACCTGGGTATGAATATGTAAAGTAGATTGTTAAGCATTCATGTGTTTCATTTTGTGTCTATGAAAATCAAAAAGTGACAGTTAAATCTAGAATAGAATTTAAAAACCTCCTTCTGATATATAAAGCCTTTAATGGCCAAGCTCCTATCTGGCCAAGCACTTTGCCCTCCATCTGTATATTAACTAAGTGGTTACTAAAATTTCTAAAAGAAGAATCAAATCAGATCAGGCAGATCTTTTAAGTTATCAGACTTCCTGTGGAACCAACTACCAGTTTTAGACTGTGAGGCAGAAGCCATGTCTATTTTTAAGGCAAGGCTTAAAACTTTCCTTTTTGATAAAGCTTATAGTTAGAGTGGCTCAAGTTATCCTGCTTAGTTATGATATAGTTATGCTGCTATAGGCTTAGAATGCTGGAGAACATAGGGACCCCTTTTCATCTTCCTGCTCCATTCTAACTCTATCCTCCGATTCTGCAGTATTTGTAAGTTCTATCTCTAACGTTATATTCTCTCTGCATTCTTCATCTGATCCGTTTCTGTTTGGCTGTGACATTATCCTGGAGAGAAACATCAGCTGTGCTGTGACCATCAACACCTTTGTTTATAGATGTTGGGACATGGCCTGTTTTTCATTGTAGTCCTGTTTCTCTGACTGTGACTAACTGTATATGCTCTCTTTTATCCTCTGACATGGGAGTTGGCTCAGAGCCATCTGCCTGGCTGTGTGTTTCCTGGACGGGGTCGCCTGTGGAGCTGGATTACAGTTATCTTTTGTATCTCTTCTTCTTTCTGTATGAATGCTTTTGTCTCCTTAAAACCCCAGTCGGCCTCCACAGATGGCCGCTCACACTGAGCCTGGTTTTGCTGGAGGTTTCTTCCTGTTAAGGGGGAGTTTTTCTCTCCACTGTCACTACAAGCATGCTTAGTGTGAGGGATTGCTTCTGAGTTAATGGGTCGATCTGATTGGATGATCTGATTAAATTGCCTTGAGCTGACATGTGCTGTGAATTGGCGCTATATGAATGAATTGAACAGCTCCAGTGTTAAAAGTTAGTCAGGGCTCCAGGAGCAGTAAAGCAGAAACTACAGATTTGAGGCATTATCAAAATCAGCAACAAAAATATGTATATACAGGTGCTGGTCATAAAATTAGAATATCATGAAAAAGTAGATTGATTTCAGTAATTCCATTTAAAAAGTGAAACTTGTATATTANACATAGGGACCCCTTTTCATCTTCCTGCTCCATTCTAACTCTATCCTCCGATTCTGCAGTATTTGTAAGTTCAATCTCTAACGTTATATTCTCTCTGCATTTTTCATCTGGTCCGTTTCTGTTTGGCTGTGACTCCATCCTGGAGAGAAACATCAGCTGTGCTGCGACCATCAACACCTTTAGTTTATAGATGTTGGGGCTTGGCCTGTTTTTCAGTGTAGTCTTGTTTCTCTGACTGTGACTAACTGTTTGTGCTCTATTTCATCCTCTGACATGGGAGTTGGCTCGGAGCTCATCTGCCTGGCTGTGTGTTTCCTGGACGGGGCCTGTGGAGCTGGATTACAGTTATCTTTTGTATCTCTTCTTCTTTCTGTATGTCTGCTTTTGTCTCGTTAAAACTCCAGTCAGCCTCCACGGATGACTTCTAACATTGAGCCTGGTTTTGCTGGAGGTTTCTTCCTGTTAAGGGAGAGTTTTTCTCTCCACTGTTGCTAAAAGCATGCTTAGTGTGAGGGATTGCTTTTGAGTTAATGAGTCGATGCAATCAGCTGGTTTTCCTTGGATAAAAATCTTTGAATCAATCTGATTGGATGATCTGATTGAATTGTCTCTGTAAAGTGCCTTGAGCTGACGTGTGCTGTGAATTAGCGCTATATAAACTGAATGAATTAAACAGCTCCAGTGTTAAAAGTTAGTCAGGGCTCCAGCAGCTGTAAAGCAGAAAACAGATTTGAAGCATTACCAAAATCAGCACCAAAAATATGTATTGTATTTATAGTCTTATGTTGACACAGCTCAAGTTAAAGTAGGTTATTTTAATTCTTTAATTCTTGATTCTATAATTGTCTTGAATCTTGCTTTTGGTAGTTATGACAATTTGAGTTGGACTATAGTTCAGTTTTTTTAATATCATGGCCAATATAAATCAGATATCAGCCAATTTCTGATATCAGCCAATATATCAGCCTTTAAATTCCCATATCTGTTGGCCCCTACTATAAAGAGAGATAGGGAACATTTTTCCGATATAAAATAAGGAGATCCACATAATAGCTAATTTAACATTTGTTTGTTAAATTAGCCGAGGAGTCTGATTGTATCTTTTCAAGCAACACAAATTCTAGATTTCTCATAAATAATTGTGCTCTAGAACGTCCATAACAGGAAAGAAATCTTCTTTTTCATATAAAGAAATCTTAATATGAAAAGATTAAAATTAACCTGTTAACAGCATTATAAAAAAGTTTGTCTGAAGAACACCGGTTTATAAAAGCAGCACCAGCAGTGTTACTGAGGCTGCAGCATACTTAAACGATTTGGACCTGAGGTGTTACAATAAGCCCGTTTCTATTTCATGCCGCTCTGGCCAGCAGATCAAGAGACTACAACGCAGGGACTGGAGAGAAAAGAAGCAGGGAAGGAGGCGATCAGTGCAGGAGATAGAAGGAGAAAAACAAATAACTAGCAAGAAGTCTGTTAAGGCAGGGGAGCAGAAGAGGCCGGGCCTTTCCCCCATTCTGCAGTATCCAACTTGGGAGCCTTGACTCAATTGGAAATCTATTTTATCTGATGATTGGCAGGCAATTGGAACTCCCAGGCGATGAGCTGAGGTTCTGCTGTTGATAGACCTGACCGATTCACTGCTAAGGGATTGAGATGGAGCAGAGTGTGGAGGAGAACACGTTTTGAGGAGGCTAACAAAGTTCCTTTCAGGCTTCAACTATCAGTGAGCTCACACTTTGGTGAAAAACGAAGGAATATCACTCTAAATAAATTAAAGTTGGTTAAGAAATACTAATGAGTCTGAGAAGGAATGTTATTAAAGTGAAAAGCTGTTTACTATGAAGGACCAACTCTGCCATATTTAAAAATAAATACAAAGCTCCGAAGCTGACGGCAGCCAGGTCTAACCACAGCCCATCTGCAGCGGCCTTCTCTCGGCATAGCCGTGTCAGAAGCGTGTTGGTTAGCATTTTACTACATCGGTCGAATCTACAGGAGGAGAGTCTGATGTCGAGTCTGAAGTCATTAGAACTTGAGTAGGGACTTTGCCAAACTTTGCCAAATACAACAAAAAATCGCCATCATAGCCTGGCTATAGACCTGGCTGCCGTCAGCTTCGGAGCTCCGCTGGTTGCCGCGGTCCTCTCAAGTTCGTCACATTTTCTTTTAAATTACGCATTAAATCTGTGAATGGGCCATATGGTGATGCTTAAAAGTATAAGGTTCTCGCCTCAAATGATCTTAAAACGTACTTTAATTGAACAACAGCAACAGAAAAGAGAACATTTAACTTAGTACTCTGAGCTCTGTGAGTTAAGAAGATGGACCGCCAAGCCAACCAATGAGCAGAAGTTGACTCTCTAGGACACACCCCCTCCTCATTTGCATAATGAGGTAGAAATGCATAGAGAAATGTAAAAAGGGCAGAGAGAAATAAACAGCGGCGAAGAAATAACTAAGGTAAAAAAATACAAAGGAAGAATAAAACAGACAAAAATATTATAACATGCACATAAATAAATACTTAAAAATATAAGTAATTAAAAAATAAAGTTGAAGATTATAAAGGACAGAAAAATAAATAAGGTAAATATTACAAAGGCAAATAAATAAAGAAGCTAATTAAGAGTTATATACATTTATGTCTCACTTTTTTGTTGGCAAT